GAACAGGCCAGCCCGCAGACGGGGCGCCCAGCTGTGCAGGCAGAGGGTCGCAGCTCTGCCACGCGTCTCCACGCCAGGCCCGAACCCATCACGCGGGCGCTTGCTGACCGCAGACGACAAACCAGTAACAAGGCACCTAGCACACCACCAGCCACCCAAGCACCCACTGAAACCACCTGCCGCTGACACCCAAACCAGCACCCTGGCCATGGATTTATGCACTACGCGTGAAAAAACTACAAGAACATCTTTTCAGCAGCCATAGACTGAAATTTGAAACCGTTTTCTTTATCTACTGCTCAATTACAAGTGTAATTCCTGTCCAGTCACTGCTGCAGATCAGTTGCGTGCTCAGCTGTGGACACACAACTCCTCCTGCAGCCTGGCAGCCAAGCAAGAGCAGGCTGCTGCTCAGTGTTGTTTTCTGATGCTACCTTTGTATTTAAGCTCCTTGGTTGTCGCAACAGAGTGCTGTAGTAAGCATGATTTAGGAGTAGGTAAAATAAAAGTACAGATTCATAATGTTTTCCTAAAATTCTACAAGTCTGCAAGGGTCTTTAAGCGTAATAGAAACAAGAGAGGTACATACGCTCAGTGGTCTGATTCTTCTTTGCAGTTTTGGCTACTTAAGATGCTCTACGGTCCAGAAAAAAAACCATTAAAAAAATATTTGTTTGCTTAGAAACCTAAGCCCCAGTATTCTCATTTAGTCCCCAGTTTGTTGTGCACAGGGTACAGCACTTGGGCAGTAGTTTCAAGTTTCATTGTTAGTTACAGTTTCCCCTCCTGTTAGGATGTGTCCTCATACACATGGAAGGAAACAAACCTCTTAAAATAAAAATTTCTCCCTAAAAGCTGTCAGAACTGGCACGGAAAATAAGGAGCAGTGAAGAGGCAACTTTTTAAACGCATCCTCTGAAAATAACTAGACCCCAGACTAACCCATTTCCCTCTAATTTAGGCTGCATTATAGTCCACACCCATGATCACAGAGAATGGCAAAGAAGTGTGAGTTGTAATTATTTTACACACCCATGGGGCACGTGTGTGTAAAATTAGAATAAACTGCACTACTCCAACTCCCTGCCCTGCATCCATGCAGCAGGCTGTACACAGCTCTGCTCATCTTTGCCACACGTTACCAAACTCCTCTAGCCCGTGTGCCATCCCCTTACAAAAACTCTCAAGTATCGTAATTCAAGAGGAGTGGTTTTATGCGCACTCTTTTTAAAATTTAACTGGCTTCAATATTTCTGGAGTCTATTGTAAAATAAATACCACAGCATCTAAATTTCTTGATTATAACTAGGTCCGGCCAAAAAGCAAGAATTCCATTTTGCTTATATTTTTTTTGAGATTTCGACATTTGATGGTGCTCCAAAGCAGAGCAAAGCTTTCAAAAATTCAAGAGGAGACAGATGGGATGGGGGAGACCAAAGTTCAAGCCCCTGGTTTGCATCAGGCAAGAAGCCCTAACCACCAAGCTGTTCTAATAATTCTCCCCCTTTTTAAGTTTTAAGCAGAAATTTCGTTTGGAACCTTGAGAAACTTTCCCCCAAAAAACAGCTGCATCGAGACAGATAGTAGCTGTGAAAGCTCTCTGTTAAATCAGCATTTCCCATTCAAGGAATGGCTTACTGGAAAGTTCCCAACGGACTCTAATTGCAGCATCCTTTTTAAATATGTCTGGGTTTTCGGCAGCATGTTAAAAACCCACAAGCAAGCAGGCCCTTATTGTTATTTAATATTTCCATGTTACTCAGATTACAGCTATTAAATACGATGTCTCGAGACACCTTGGTCAACCCAGCGAACTTACACTCAGTGACCTGATTTTATTTTCAGTTTGTTGACTCCAGGTCCCACTAAATCTAGCATGGTCCGTTACCCAATACCAGCTAAAGCTCTCCCTGGCAGATGCCTTCAGCCCAAGAGGGCTCCCTGCCCAGGCAGGAACTTAAAATGCAAGCACACTTTGCAGAAGGCAGCCTTTGGAGACAAGGGCTCCCCGCAGCCGCTGGTTGCGCAGTGGCTCTGCAGCAGCCCTGTACGTTTACGGCCTTTTGGGCAAGAGGAGCTCCGGTGGCATGTCATGAAACCCTGCAAGTTCACCTTGGCAACTGGAGCCGCTCAGCTTGGCACCCTCCTGGGCCAGGGCTGGGGCTATGGCTACGCCCCAGACAGCGGTGGAAGCCAGTTAAGAGCCAAGCCCGACTGCCCGGCCAGAGCCCAGCACGACACCATGCACAACTACCGGGCACCACAGCCAGCTCGATCGATGACTGCAAGTGCCCCGAAGGCAGCGTTTTCATGCCGAGCATGTGCTGCTACATCTGCAACACCCACCTGTGCAAAAAGGGAACCCTTTTTCCAAGGAGAAAATAAAACAAACAATGGACCACCGTCCCTATCTATGTGCTGGCTTTGAGCCCACGAAAGAAACCCTTGCCCCATATCGCAACGCATCCTGACAGCCTCACCACGCGTGACGATGCAACGGCACATAAGCAGACCACTTCTTGACATGAAATCTGCTCCTCAGCAGTAAACAGCTGTGAAATAGCCTTCAGTAACTGCTATACTATTTCAGAAAACAGCAGTCCTGGAAAGACAAGACAAAAATGTGGAAGCGTCACACTCGTGTGCGTAAGCTTATCAACTGCTCTTCCCACTGTGAAGCATTCCCGCATTACTCATTCTGAGAGGGACAGTAACCCAATACAAAGCCTTTTTCCTCTTCTTTGCAAAGCTTGCTTACAATTTTTATTTCCAGGCTGCTCTTTCAAAAAAATTCAGTGAGCAAAAATTTTCTTCCTCTACATATTTTGTAATTTTTCTTTGCCAACTCCTAACCAGCCAGCCACCGCGTGAATCGCTCAGGAAGAGGAGCACTACATACAACACCACTGCTACGCACAGGGGCTGTGAACTAGAGCTCACAATGCTTTATCCAGACTTTCATGATGTCACGTCCCTGCAAAAGCCATTATATTCAGCAAGGTAAACGATCACTGAAGGTTTATGGGGATGTTATTTTTAAGTGGTATTTTTCAAGTCCAATACAGTTTTCAAATCTTTATCTGGATTATGTGTGAATTAATGACAATAACAGTAACGTAACTAATACCAGCTCCAAACATGCAGTGGATACTCTCTGAGGGTTGAATGTTTGTGCACACATGGGCATGTGTGTTGGAACATGCACTTCATTCTCCATTCATGGCTTCTACTAGCCAGGCCTTACACCCTGTAACCGTAAATCCACATAAATTCTTAAGGAAAACCAATACTTTTTCTTTTTTAAACAGTATGCATGGACTGCCGACGCCTGCACCGGCTATCCTGCAGCTGTTTAATTTTCAGAGCTCTCAATGACTTCATTGTGACTTTTGCATTGTTTAGTTAGCACAAAAAGAGATAATTCCCTTTAAGGCAAAACAACAACATTTAAACTATGGTCATGCAGAGCATGTCTATCCCCTACACCCTTCTCCCAGTGAATCACCTCCAAAAAATGCTTACATTCCACCAACATGAGAGAGAGATGCACAACTCCGCCGAACAAGAAATGCACTGAAGCCAATCTCATTTCCCTTAATTACTATGTTCACTTTCCATACCATGGACAGAGATCTACAGTTTCGTTTTTTCCCCAGCTGCCCTCTGTTTGAAACACATTACTGCCATAGAAACCCCAGCTGTTGCAGTCCTAATCCTACCAGTCTGGGAAAACACAATGGGATTCCCTTCTGGAGTGCTACTATCTTATCTAAAGGATAGCTGCTGAACAGAGTGATATGGCGTTTCCCATCCCCCAACACCTCCCCCTGTATCACAACATCTTTAAAGAGCTCTCTAACATGTCTAGATTGTAGAAATATTTTCCTCTTTCGTTTTCTCAAAGCACCATTTCTAGAGATTACAAATGAGACAAGGGTTGCTTCTCGGAATATCTGAAAAGGCACTGGGTTTCATTCAAATACAGCTTTCTAAGAAAATACCTGACATGTTCTTAAATGTCAGGAATACTTCATTTCCTCCATGCACTACTCTGAAACTTCATATGACATTTAACGAGAAATGAAGGCGGCCTCTGGTGCAGCTCTAAATGCATTGTACAAAATGTGACCAGTTTAATAAAAGCACACCAAAAAAAAGCTGCCAAAGAAAAGAATAACAACAAGGAATCTCTCATAAAGAAAGCAAAAGGAGCACCCAAAGAGGACAAAGGTGAAGGGGGCAAAGCTAATCTGCAAGGAGAAGGTCAGCCTGAGCAACAAGAAAAGAAGTATGTTTAGCCTGGAAAACAAAGGTTGACAGAAAAGCTGGAGTGCTTCCTTTCACCAGCCCTGCCAAAACCCTTTTTAAAACATGGCTTTTAGGTCACTTCCTACCTCAACTCCACCAATTCTCTCCCACGAGCTTCTTGAATCCCACTGACTAAATATACAAAAGGACATAATGTCACTACTCTTTTGCTGTAAAAAGTCAGGATCAGTCTCCATCCCCTTTATTGTCTTACTACATATCTTAAGTCACATTATAGCTGTCCCTCCCCTCACTTTTTGTTTTTTTTTAAAGAGCATTTAGGAGTAGATGAGACACAGAGATGTTCTTGAATGAACTCTGAGCCAAGCTGTTTAAACCTATTTCCCTAAAAATTACAACTTCAAATATACTTCCCCCACAAAGGGGAATATATCATATCCCCTCACTGCTAGAGGACTTTCCTTTCTGCTTGCCTACCTTAAAAACAGAACGGACTTCTCTGCAAACCCTGGTAAGCACAGGACAGAGAGTGGTGAAAACAGGAGGTCTCCTGACATCTCTGCAACTGATAGGAATTTCTACCTGCTGTAAGAACACACAGTTTTAATGAAACTGCTATCGAGAAAGGTTTTGCAGGTGCATTCTCCCCAGCGTGAACTGCTCCACTCACAGTGCAAGCTGGCGCAGAGACTTGAACCTCAGTTTCCCACATCCCAAGGCAAATGTCCCAGTGACAACCACCAAGACAGTGTCTTCCCCTCCGTGGCTCGGGTACCACTGGATCATAAGAAGCAGAATGCTTCCAGCAGGACGTGGAGGTTGCAGAGGCTAACTCTGCAGCTCAGAGGTCAGGGAATTCAGTTGGGATGTGGGAAATCTATGTTCAACTCCCTACTTACCTGATTTAAAGCCTGATCTTGAACTGATATCTCTCAGAAGGTCAGTGCTGTTATCACAGGGGCATACAGATTGTCTTTTCCCCTCCTCTTTGTTCCACAAGTAATGACCTGGGTTACAAAAGGCTGATGGATCAGAAAAATGGGTAAGAAACACAGAAAAAGAAAGTATGTATGGGGGATGTGGTAAAAGACAAAGGGAGACAGGCAGGAGAAATGAAATGAGAGAAACAGAAGAATAGACAATTAGAAAGGCAGAGAGATGTGAAAGGGGAAATGCAGCTACATTTTTGATCCTGAAGTTTTTAAACTTTATTTCCACCAAATCTGTCATCACAAGCAAATTATTTTAGCTGAATTAAAGAGCAAACAGCCTGCCTCTCTTCACTTTTTAACCTTAAGTATTCTGAAATACAGACCCCCTCCCTAAGAACTTACAGCCTCCTAAGACTACCCTCACTCCCCTCCCTCCCCACATTTTGCACTTAAATCCTTCTCATCTCTTTATGCTCTCAATTAATTCATTGTTTTGGCCAATATACCAGTATCTGCAACACAGAGCTAAAGTCATACTTACCTCTGATTTTATTCATTTATGCAGCAGGAACAAGAACAACTCCGGCTCACTTTAATCTATACCTCTATAGATGACAAGAGAAAGTTAATATACAACCTGTTAGCTCCAACAGTACGCCTAAGCTCTCTGAAGCTGTATGGTGACCAGCATTTCCCTTTGCAGAATTTTAAGATGCACCTCAAGCCTCAAAAGAATGACTTAATTTGCAACCTTTCTGGCTTACCTCAAAAGGTAGCGTGATTGGCGGTGGTGGCTTTTTCAGTTCTTCACATTTTCTCTTCTTACATATCCGGTGACTAGTTTTGCGTTTCCTGCAACAGCTGCATTCTTCACAATTTGTTTTCCGCAGACAGGGCTCACAGACTCCACAACGCCTTCGTTTCTTCTTCTCTAGCATAGGGAGCAGAGATGAATATGGAACAGGGTAATCACCAGCTGGATTTTTAAGAGAGGATGGCCCTGAGGCCTCAGTTGCTTCAGTGCTGTCGCTCACGTTGTCCTGAACCAAATTCAAGCTTACTCCGACTCTTCCCAGCTGCGATGAATAATCATTATGCTGCAGTCTTGAGTCAGCTGGCAAATCTGCATTTATGGCTTTTTCTAAGGCAAGAGCAGAGATTTCTGTGCTTGAAGGCAACTCTGAAACAAAATCTTCAGAGCTTTCACCAGAGATTTTATGGACCGTGTTTTTTTCTAAATCTGGAGATAAAGTGGGGACATAACCTGAATTCAAAATTAATGTCTCTGCATCAATACATTTAACAAGCTGCTCAATGTCCTCCACTTCAATATTGTTTAAAGAGGTATTGGAAACTGGTTCACATACTGCAAATATGTCTTTTGAGTCAGATTCTGAATTCTTTCTTGTACAGCTCAAATCCAAATCTGAGTCAAGTTCTTTGTGAACGGGTACAAAATCCACAACCAGTTTCATGTGGGATTCTGCAAGCAAGCTCGCACCTTCAAAATGTAAAAACGAATTTGATTCAGTGGCAGTTACAGAGCTGGGATTTGAACCAACGTCTTTATTCTCACACTCCAAATCCCTGCCTGCCTTCAAGCAGGATTCTGCAAGTGAGCTTGCATCTTCTAATAAACGTTCTTGTGAGTTAAACTCAGAGGTAACTATAGATGCAAAATTTGAGTCTTGTTCTTCACTAGGTAGCACCAGGTCCGACTCTGCTTCTATGTGGGATTTGGCAAGTGGGACCGACTCTTCTAACAGTACTGCTGAGCTGAGGTCTGAGGTATCGACAGAACTGGAGTCAGGTTCTTTACTGTTAGGCACCAGATCAAAGGAAGCCTCCGCACACACCTTCGAGTATGATTCAGAGGTGATTCTGGAGTCAGGAGGAGAAGATGGAAGCACAAGCGCAGCATCTTCAACAAATGGTTCAGCCAAACTACCCGCATCGAGATCACTGGGTGTCTGCTGACAGGGCATGTCTTCACGCTTGTATTTCACCTCTGACGCTTCTGTATCGTCTTCAGTTACCTGACCGCTTGAAACGGAGTCATTTGTTTCACGTATTTCTACCTCTTTGTCTTGACTGGCACACATGGTAGCAGGCTCTTCGCCTGCACTACACGGAGTATCTTCTACAGGCAGAGGAGCTAACTCATTTTGTGCTAAATCTTGTTTCAAAACTCTTTCGCCTGCTTCAACATTTTTTTCTTCGACTACTGTCAGGGCTTCTTGTTCATGTTTTTCCTTTGTTTCTAGCCTTTTTTGTGCTGCAGCTTTCCTGGGTTTTGCAATGGTTGGAGTTTGGGACAATCTACGGGAGAACGATCGGTTACGGAGTGACATTGTAAAGCCATTGATGTTGAAAGAATCCTGGTTGTGAAAGAGGATATTGTCAGCTTTCTCCAAACTCACCCAAGATGCTCCAGACAAGGTTCTGGTTACACTGCTCCTGAGAAGTCTACCTGAAGAGCTCATGATTGGTTTCTTTTCTTGCTGTTTTTTCTTAACATCTTTTTCTTGCGCTGGCTTTTTGCCTTTTCCAGAACTAACAGCTTTTGTGGAAGTCTTTGTGGTTTTCTTTCTCACGTGGCTAGACTTCTTTTTGCCCTGGTTAGTTTTCCTTTTGCCTAACTCTTCCTTTTTGACTAATCTGGAAGGCCTCGCGTGGTGAGCCATGTCTGCGGAGTAGCAGAAATGTTAAGAGGAGAGATGGAAAAAAATCATGAGCTCTTGAGAGAAATTTTCAATAGAAAACTGCATACTCCCATTGCTGTTCTCTGTGGTGATACAGCGTTTACTCTGAAACAGAACAAGACATAAAATAGCATTAATATAATTCTAATTAATGAAGGGCACGTACATTAAACTGAACATGTTTAATATTTAAAAATACAAAGGTAGAATAAGAAATATTGGTATTGGATGTTATGCTCAATTAACACAAAAGCCTTGAAGGTATTAGTATATTGCAAAACTGAAAGCTTGCCTAAATGCCTGTAAGACAAATGAAGAAGCAAATGGAGCTCAAATAACCAGGCAACATCACATATTTACTGTTTTATGTCAGTTCTAAGTAGTTTGACTTTTCTCAACCCTGTTAATAGTTCATTAACCACCCCTCCCCTTCAGTAAGAACAGGTAAAATTTACATCCACAACCTTATGGATGTTCAGGAAAAAAAGAACAAAGCTGAATTTATTTCACATGAGTGCACTCATACACCACCACCAGAGCATCTCCCATTCTTTTACCATCCACTGGCTGCCCAGCATGGAACAATTCCAAATAGAATGGGAGAGGTAGCTAGCTCCCTGAAGATGTCTAACCTGTGGTGTTACAGGGAAACTGGACCAAGGAAGAATTGCCTTTCTCAGTGTTATCTCCCAGAATAACACACAGGTGCACTGCATTACATTGCAGGCCTTGATTCTGTCGTGTCTACCTATATCAAATGTATTACGCAGGCAGTCATCTCTGCTTCATCATTACGAGTACTCACATATTTACCTTCAACAAATACCACACATATGTCCTAAGCTTTTGTCCTGAAACACAACCAGGGTGCAGAAGTCTCCCAGCTCCCCAAATACAACTCAGTCATCTCAGAAGACACAAGAGATTCTTCGTGCTCCAAGTAAACTTCCTTCAAGATGCGCTGGGGTTTTTCAAACGTAAAGCAATTCTCATAAGTACATAGTTCTTAAGCACACAGCTCTTTTTAAGTACCTGTGGAAGGCTTTTAAAGCTTTATGTAGCTGTCTGAACAGATCAGATAGGTAGGCAAGAGCAGCCAAAAAGGGGAGCAGATGGAGCCAGAGCAAGATGCTCTGTGATCTCAGGGAGGAGGGTGCCTTCCCTTTGTCGTCACTCCTTTGAATTCCTTAAGCCAAAATCTAGTCATCTACAGGCCACCTGCATCCCACTGATGGGAAAACTAAGAACAAGAAACATGGGGATGATGTCTAAAATCCTGCCCTCTAAAGGAAGTAAAAAAAAAAAAGGAAATAAATGGAATCCTTGCTTCTAAAGGAAGCAGAAAAGGCAAGTAGGGAGCTACCAGGCTCCTGACACCACCACTCCTTCCTATGACCTCAACCCCACCTTGCAGCCACCAGTGTGATGTTACGGAGGCTGCACTCACCCACAACCTGGTGTGAGCTCTGCTGAAGGTGAGAGCTACGCTAGTGCAGCCCAGTCTGCTTAACACTCCAGAAATGTTTAATGGTACTACACCAGCCAGGTTTGGCTAGTGTAGGGCACACGAAAAGGCACGGGGCACATGAAGAGCAGGCTCCACGAGCAGAACAGACACTCCCCCCCAACCACAAACACATACCTACAGCACAAGGGGTGCAGAAAGCTGACAACTATCCGCACCAAACACCGCTGCACTGCGTCAAGATCAGCTCATTAGCCCGCCGAGGCAATGGTCTAGCATGGCCAACACGCACAGCCCCTCAGTGTGGGACCACCAGTTCCTCCCGCTCCCCAAACCAGCACGCTGACAGCAAGCTTGTTTCTGACTGTCTCAGCCCTGAGCAGGCTACCCAGTGGCCACAGTACCTACCAAGGCTAACAATAACTCTCCAAACTCCTTTCAGATAGCTTAAAGCATTTTGAAGCCTAGCTCGTTTGTTCAGCAGTAGTAAGCTGACTGATCCTGTGCACTACAACATATAAACCAAGCATCTTGCCTAAACATGCTGTGATTATTCTGCATCACATCTTCACATTACCTATCAGATGAACATTATTACTGAGACAGGAGTTTTTCCACACATTCAAGTACCATTTTAGAGCCAGCACTGCTGTACAAGACAAGGCTAAACACACTTGTAAGGTCAGATCAGAAAACAATGCCCAGCAAACACACAATGAACAAGCTAACAGCATCCCTGCTCCATCACAGCAAAACACCCAACATGGAGAGACTAAATAGACACGCGTAGTTGTTTTGTAACTGTGGGTGATGCTTCAAAGGCCACAGAAGAGACCTGAACAGCTCCCGCAAAAGCACTCTATATAAGATGGGTCAGACACTGAAACAGCAAAATAAGCACTTGGCTGAAATGAAGGTAATCCGAGTGCTTTCCTCCCCCTGCCCTTCTCTGGAGATGCGTGGCGGAAGGGGGACATGGCCATTACTACTCACTCCATGAACTGAGTGCCAAAGAGGGCACTGGCATCATGTCAGCAGGTCCATGAAATAGTTGTCGGCAGCCCACAAAAGGCTTCCCCAGTTTCTAGTGGTTTTGACAGAGACTGGGCTCCTCATTCCAAAGGACAGCCTGGAGGGCTGCAAAACCAGTTGGAAGCAAGCAGCAGGTAGCGCATCTGTAGCCATTAGCGGTCAGCCCTACATAACAGTGGCAGGAGAGGAAATGCGAGCTACTTTCAGAGACTACAGGCAAGACAGCAAGGAAGAAAGCAAGCAAACAACACGAAGGGCCAGGCAACATGAGATTGCGTGAATCAGGAGGGGAACTGAAGACATTTTTTTTTTTTTCTCTATCAGCACTGAAACAGAAGAAGAGCAGAATGACAAGAGAAAACAGGAGATCTGGAGTGGAAACAGAGACTGGATTTCTCAAGATACTGCATGTGTATAATGCTTTGCTCACGTTACTTCTCTACATAAGCAGTTGCCACTGCTGTTGTGGAAGCCTGGGAAGCATGATCATTAAAATTATCAATTAGAAGCTTCATTTATAACAAATTTGTAATTTTTTAAAATATAATTATATAATAATGTATCTTTACCTGCATTTTGGAAATTGCAATGTGGTTGCTTCAGGACTGAAGAAGCAAGACAGTCCCGGGTTTTTTTTTCATTTAATACAGAAAAACATACCTGTCTGGCAAGAATGTAGAAAAGTATCAAAGCCAAAGTGTTGCTTCTTCTCAGGGCCAAAGTTAGAGTCTATGAACATCCAGTGGCTGAAGACTTCCCTTTTTCTTGGTAAACAAGGAACGTTGATATTTGTAGGAAATTGACTGACATTTAACTGCTGCATTAAAGAAGATGGCAAAGGCTGCTAGTATTTCTCTTTCTCAGAGACGACAATACAGGCGCACAAGAACAGCAACAGTTTTATCCATTTTATTTCAATTTTGTCACCGGAGTGAATTTACGTTTTTCAGAAGAGATCTGGGTGACAGATCCCTAAAGGAAAATTTTAGTCCCCAGTTCCCCGTGTCCCCCCCAAAAAGTACTTGACTTCATTTATATTTGTCTGTAACTCTGAGCACCTGACCCCCAAGGTGACTGTAAGCTCTTGTGAGAAGTGCCTGTGAGCAAGAGATCTTTGCTTCCCTTAAAGAAAGCCCATAGTCTTGATGAATACCAGTCTGCCACAGTAACTTCAACGGCTAGATAAAAGCCGTCTAACATTTTTTAAACAGTGTCTAATAAAACTAAATTACATTGTTACTTCTTTGTCTACTCTTCCACATTCAGGACCAAGGTAGCTACAAGCTCAGTATTCAAGTTTTTTTTTCTGTAACACTAGGAAATTTTTTACCATCCCTCTTCCATTTAAAGCAATGGTAATGACTCTATTGATGCCTGCAGCAGTTGCAAATTGCCTCATGTCACTTCTTAATGACAACAAATGGCTGTATCACATTGGTCACATATAGCAAGAAATTAATTATATTTCAAAAATATTTATGTGGACTTAGCAGGATTATCAAACATAAACCTCATGGGGCAATATAATAACTTGGCAGTTTTCCACTGTTCTGGTGAGAAACAAACTTACTTCAATGTTCTCTTCCAAAAGCCACATCAGGTGGGACATACCATACCCTCCCTGAGAGCAGAGGGCAAGCGTCTCTATGAAGCAAAAGAGGTAACAGGTACAGAAAGGTTTGCGGGGAACTGCCTTATATAATAACAGTGCATCCCAAAGCTGTTTGTTACTTGAGCTGACTTATCTCTTCTAATTCATGTGCAAAGCTGAAAGCTGGTTTTAAGGCCAGTTGCTTAAGTTTTGCTCATTCACAGTAATAAATCTGAAGCAATCCCACCGACTGCTATAATCCTTAACAAATACTGCTAAAAAAGCTAATCAAGGACTCAATCTTTTAGTCCCATCTTGGCCAAAATTCCAAACAATTATAATGAGAATTTTGCCTACAAAGTAATTGGAGAATTTAACCCCACAGTGCTGAATGCCTCCAGAAAAAAAGCAAGTAAACAAACAATAAAACACACACCCCGCTTTTCTTATTTACTTTCCCTTTACACAAAAGGATAAAAAAATAAAGCAAGTTTTCCTTTTAGAGGTAGTGTCCATCAAGATTCTGTTCCGTAACTTCATTCTGGTTGGATGACAGTGAGGGGGAAGAGATAAACACGTGTTCTCATAAAATGGTGGCACCTTTTTTATGGCATCATGAAAGACAACAAGTGACCCCTGAACAAACACAGCTGCATGGGGAAAAAAAAAAATGACACAGCTAGGACTAGTTGAGCCTGGTTTCACTACAGTCAGATGCACTAATTTAATACATTTTATTTCAGTATCTTTTCAAAAGTCACTTGAGATTGGCCCGGTGGGGAAACAAGACCTGGAAGGTGTCATAAAAGCCACTTCATAACACGCAAGTCCCATGTAATAAGGGCCACAATTTGACTTAGAAGTTGTCACACATGCTCAGATGTACAACTTTGA